CACTATTCAGAATCTCAAGAGACCCCACTTCAGTGATTTTGCAAGAGGGAGGTCAGAAAGATCTACCAAGGACAAAGCGACAGTGCACTGGAAGCCAAAGCCCCCATTTAGATCCATTGCCTGTGTATCTGGGGAGGGTAGGCAGGATGGATATTGATTTGGATGGAGCCCTTGTGGCACAGTGGTTAAGGGCTCAGGCTGTTAACCAAGAGGTTGACAGTTCTGATCCACCAGCTGCTCCTTGGAAACCCTATTGAGCAGTTCTACTCTGTCCTATAGGGTCGCTACGAGTCAGAATTGCCATGATGGCAGCAGGTTTGGTTTTGGTTTTTTTACCTGGAACTAACACCATCACCACCCATGCCAACACTGCTTGCCAGAAGAGGAAATCTTCCTACTTCCTCCTACTACAAAGGCCTTCCACGTGTGGCCCAGGGGCTCTCTCCAGGCCCTGCTGACATGCCTGACCTGGGCTAGGAGCCCAATTTATTACACAGAGAAACCAAGGTCCCCAGGAGGCCAAGGAGTAACAGTCAGGCATGTGGCTTGCCCACTGGAAAAGAGCCCCTTGTCTAAGCCACAGAAAACCAGCATTTACTCAGCACCTACCAGGTGCCAAGCACGGGTAGGTAACCCCTCCAACAAGGTCTGGATCGCAGTAGGTGCTCAAAATACTGGCTGAATAAATGGGGACAAAAATGAAGGGGGACTCTCACTGAAGTGTGCATTATTACCCTCATTCTAGAGATGGGGAAATGGAGGCAGTGTGAGACCAGAGATTTGTGCAAGGCTGCATGGGATTCTGGGATTTGAACTTAGGTCTCCTGACTCCAAACCCAGTAATTCTTCCCCACCAGAACACAAACAGTGGCATCAAAGACAATGCCGCAACTTGCTACAAGTTCCTTTTGCTCTCTGCATTTTTCTCTACACTTGGCTTGTTCTGCTTAGTCAATTTAAACTGTGGTTTCCAACCCTAACCTCAGCTTGAAGGGTCGTCCGTTAGGGCAGTCTTGCTCCATAAAAATCAGGTAAGTTAACAGGAGGTAGGCAACTCATTGAAATGATTTCCTCCTGGCCCCCGTGCTGTGGTTCTGTGCGTTGGCAACCCATATGAGGGCTGTTCTAATGGAGCTGCACGCCCAGTGGGAGAGAGGGCTGCTGAGAGCAGAGAAGCTGGCACCTCCGAAACTCTCACTTGCTTACCCAAGCCCGAGATAGGGGCTCATACGGTTGCAGGGTACCAAGTTGTGGCTGCTTTTTATTATGAAGTCTCAAAAGCTCTGAACCTTTATTGCTGCCAATTATGATGGAGTATTAATGCAGGTGCCTTGAAGTTTAACAAACAGGTGGAAATGAGACGCACCAGAAACACAAGTACTTTAGCAATAAAACAAATTGTCAGGTCTCAGTAGAACATTTTGACTATGAGTCTAGTGCAAAATTAATGTTATATGCCAATGAACTAGTAAATTGCTCCTCCTGGGGCTCTCCCCAGTGGGAGAGGCACTGATCCAGACACCTAGCTGCGCTGTACCCGCGTGCAGCTCCCTCCTCCTGCCTGACTGCGCCCGCCTGCCTCACCGCCACAGCCAGTGCGTGGCGTCTTCTCCCTGTTCTATCAGGCAGCTCCTTACTGCTCTGCTGCTTCCAGTCTCCCCACGCGCAACCATTCCCCAAGGTGCTCCTCCAAGGACTCAAATCTGAGCGTTCACTCCCAAGCGTGTCTCCACTGAAGTCCCCCACTCATCTGAGGCCCTCCACCAAATCCAATGTCCTCCCTGCAGTTCTGGTTTTACGGAAGGACCTATGTGCCCAGAGTTCACCCACCTTCCGGCTAGCTGGCCCTTCCTTATGTCCACCTGGGGAGGCTTTCCCCTTGCTGAAGGCCCAGGCCACATGCCAGCTTCTCTGGCTTTCCTTCAGACTTTCAATTCCATTTCCTTCTATCTTTCCCCCACGTATATTCTTTCAACTTCCACTGCTTTCTATTTCTCTTTCTTAGATGTTCTCTTGTACCAGTGGGCTCTTATCACTTTTATAATATCCTAGAATTCAGGGTCATTAAGCTCAAGCCCTCCTTCTGTTCCCTCAGGGCCTGGTCCCTCATCTCATACTCCCAGTTGGGGCTGCCTGCACCTGTGTGCACAGCTCTGCTGACGGGGAGCTTACTCCCTTCCAAGGCAGCTCTCGGCACCTGCAGAACCAGCACCAAGAGAAAACATCTTGACTTTGGAGTAAGGTTCCTCCCACTAGCCCCCGACTTGGCCATACTCCTATCCTCTGGGTTCTCTAAGAAATAATCTAACCCTCTTCCCCTGGCCAGCCCTCGAGAGCAAGCTACAAGGACAGAATTCACAAGGTCCCCATCTGAAACTTTTCTCTTTCTAATCTTTTAACATCCCAGCTTCCTGAAATGATTCCTCTTATATCTTCCTGTGAAGTTCCTCTGTCTTCCTTCCCCTCAAAGATGAGGAATGTCCCAAACCTCCTGGTTTCTTTTGTGTGAAGGTCCCTACCCTGTCCCGGTCATCGAGGGCCTCTGAAGGCACTCCAGGTAGCTGCTCTTCTAACGCTGTGGCTTCCAGAATAAAATGTTACTCCCCTGGCACACACTAATTGCTGCAGACTGGAGCAAAGTCACCATCTCCTTCATTCTAGAAACTCCTATGTCTATTAATGCAGCCTGAGGTTGCATTAATTTCTTTTGGCAGCCATATTAGGCTGTTCACTCACATTGAATTGTTGATTAAAACTCTCCTACTATCACCCCCTTTCCTCCCCCAAAAAAGAAAGTGTTGCTGTTGGTATTTCCCTAGGGCAGAACCTTACAATTCTCTCTGCCAAATCTGTGCTTGTTTGGCAACTATAAAACTAGTATTCATTTCAGCACCTACCTCTTACCCAGGTATTTGACCTCTAATCTGCAAAACCATCTTACAAAGGAAGTACTAGTTATTGTCTCCTCTCTCCCTCCCTCCTTCTCTTTCTTTCTTTTGTCTTTTAAGATAGAGAAATTTAAGAAGAGACATGCCCAAGGCCACACAGCCTGGAATTACATAGTTAGGACCCGGACCAAGTGTCCTTTCTGAGTTCGTACCTTTCCCAAAGGTCCTTATGTTGGTGTCTCACCTCCTTCTGCCGTCCTTCTTTGGTGCCCTAGGGACTGACACCACTGAGAGCTGGCCCCTAGCAGTGCACATGGTATTCAGAGAATAAAGTCACCTGTTTAACAAACCAGAGCTTACCCCAAAGTGCTATGAAAAGGGGAGACATGCCCGTGTGTGTGTGTGTGTGTGTGTGTGTGTGTGTGTGTGTGTGTGTGTGTGTAAACTGGAGAAATGCAAATGGCAAATGGCAATCATGAGACAAAGGCTAGCTCTTCCCAGTAACTACCTTTTGCCTAAGGTCTCTGCAAAGGTGAGCAGTGCAAGCTGAATAAAAATGAAGGAGCAAATAAAGGTAAATAAACACATAAGCACCTCTGTGAGGTGAAGCAGTGCTTTACAGCAATGAGGTATGTGGATCAATGTGCCTGTGAAACTAGACGGTACTGAGAGAAAGGCAAAGTGAGCCTGGGTTTGGTGTCCATTTCCCAGGTGGCTGGGAAGAGCGTAGGCTCTGAAGTCAGACTTTGGGGGCTCTAGTCCTGGCTCTGCAAACTACCAGCTGCTGACCTCAGTTTCCTCACCTGTAAAATGGGACTAATAATAGCACCAACCTTACTGGGTTGCTGGGAGTTACTTCACGTAAAGTGCTTAGAACAGAGCCGGGCACAAAACAAGTATCGAATATTTGTCAGCTATTATTATTACGACTATCATAACTAATACTATAACAACACTCGCTTATATGATTCACTCCACACATCTCTCCTGAGTGCTTATTATGTGCCAAGCCCTAGATACTCAGTGAGTCTGAGTATCCAACACTGTACCCACAAAGGTTTCCTTGAAGAAAAAAAAAATCTGCAAGGTCCATGATCACTCCCATGTATAAACTGACTTTTATATTTCCATGAGACTTCAGGATGTTTTAGTGGCCAGGGAATGGGCAAGGCACACTTTCTGGAGAGTTTGCCAAAGTCTAGTAACCAACACCAGCAAGGGGCAGGCACTCTGCACAACCTGCACAAGGTGGCAAGCAAAGATTGCTGAGATCCAAGGAGAATTTCATCTTGCTGGGGCCGTGCTTGCCTAGGCAACCCTAGGCAAACCACTTAACTTTCCTGTGCCTGTGGCTACCCAGCTGTAAAACTGAGTGGGGAGAGGCCATGCCCGTGGCCTTTTGGGGCTGAGAAACACATCACAGACTTGGCTGCGTCTCCCACAAAAAAAAGAAAATAAATGGGGGAATCTGTTCCTTTCCAAAGCAGCAGCACCGTTTGCTAAAGCAAAATATTTCACTGTTACATGGAGTCCTTGGGGAATGAAGGAGTTCTTCAGGTGCTGACTTTTCTAGGCAGCTGAGTGCTTAGAGCCACCAGATGCTGTGGGCCCACTTTGCTCTGGACATCGTGCTAGGAACTTCCCACAAAGCATCTCTGATAACTAAGTGCAGAGCTAGGAGTCGGCCATCAGTTGGGTAGCCCTCTCCAAAGCAACTGGCTTCAACCCAGGGAACCACTGAGTTCTCCATTAGAAGGAGGCAATAAGGAATTCTCTACAGTATAACTCTATCGTATAATGGATGCCATGGGTACAAAGATGGAGATTTAAGAGATGGTTTGAGAAAAAGAAAGAAGCAGCCACTTTGTGGTTGATGTTCAGCAGGGGATGTCTGAGATGCTGAGACCACATCAGAGACTTTGCTGAGGAAAAATGCCTGGGACTTTTCATGTATTTTTCTACTTTTTGTGACATCAGAAAAAGAGTCAATGTTGACAAGCTGTACATAAAAAATGTAAGAATAACTGGCTTTTGAACTTAGAAACACCTTCCAAGGTGACAGAAATGGGTACACTATTGTGGTTTAATGCCTAAAGCCATTAAAAATCCTACCTGATTTGCTCTTTCGAGGTCCGTCATGATCATTTCAATTTCGTCAGCCCTAGGAAGGGGAGAGGGAGAGAGCACGTTAGTCAGCAACAAGGCAGGCTTGGGGAGGTGATTAACAGGACAACACTTCATGGTCCTGGCAGAATGACCCGCATTCACGCTGTAGGGGAGAGCAGCAGCCAGTTGTGCAGACCAGCAAGGAGATGTCACTGTCCACCATGAGGAGGGAGGCTGGGCTGGGTAAGGGGCTGCCTGCCCTTGAGAGGATCCCAATCTCATAGGGGAGACAGAGCCATAAAAAGATAAAATACATGAGATTTATTCTAGGAATGCAGGGATGGTTCAACATTAGAAAATCAATCAACGGAAGACACCACATCAGTAGAACAAAAGAAAAGAACCACATGACCATCTCTATGGATGAAGAAAAAGCATTTGATAAAATCCAACACTCTTTCTTGATGAAAACCTTCAATAAGATTGGAATAAAGGGGAAATTTCTTAATATGATTCAGGGCAGATATGAAAAGTGAACAGCCGGCATTAAACTTACTGGAGAAAGACCAAGAGCTTTCCCCTAGAATCGGGAGCAAGACAATGGCGTCCACTCTTACTACTTCTATTCAATATTTTATTACAAGTCTTAGCCAGGGCAATAAGAAAAGAAAAAGAAATAAAAGATATCCAGATTGGAAAAGAAGAAGTAAAATTATCTCTACTTGTGGATGACATGATCCTATATAAAGAAACTCCTAAAGAGTCTGCAAGAAATCTTCCAGAGCTAATACAGGAATTTAGCAAACTTGCAAGGTACAAGGTCTACGAACAAAAATCAGTTGGGTTTCTATACACCACTAATGAGAAATATGAAAGGAAATAAGGGAAATGATTCCATTTACAATAACATCTAACAGAATAAAATATCTAGGAATAAATTTAACCAGAGATGTGAAAAACTTATACAATGAAAACTATAAAACACTGCTGAAGGAGATTAAAGAAGACTTAAATGGAAAGATGTTCTATCTTCTTGGGCTGGAAGACTTAACATTGTTAAGCTGTCAATACTACCTACAGTGATCTACAGATTCAATGCAATCTCAATAAAAATTCCAACAGCCTTCTTTACAGGAATAGAAAAACCAATCCTCAACTTTATATGGAATGGCAAGAGGCCCCAAATAACCAAAGTAATGTTGAAAGAGAAGAACAAAGTTGGAAGATTCACACTTCCAGATTTTAAAACATATTATACAGCTTTAGTAATCAAAACAGCCTGGTACTGTTATAACAATAGACACATAGACCAATGGAACAGAATTGAGAGTCCAGAAATAAATCCACACATCTATGGTCAACTGATTTTTAACAACAGTGCCAAGTCCATTTGATGAGGAAAGAAGAGTGTCTTTAACAAACAGTGTTGGGAAAATTGGATTTCCACATTGCAGAAAAATGAAACAGGATCCATGCCTTGCACTACATACAAAAACAAATTCAAAATGGTTAAGGACCTAAATGTGCAAACTAAAACCATAAAATTATTAGAAGAAAATGCAGGGGCAACACTGTTGGGCCTAGCTTTTAGCAATGGATTATCTAATATAATAACAAACCACAATCAGCAAAAGATAAAATAAATGAGACCTTATAAAAATTAAAAACTTTTGTTCATCGAAAGACTTTATTCTGCCCCCACCCCACTCCCCCCCAAAGTGAAAAAACAAACTACCGACTAGAAGAATATCTTTGGAAGCCATATATCCAACAAGAATCTCATAACCAAAATATATATAAAACTTTGGCAACTTAGCAACAAAAAAACAAACAATCATAAAATGGGCAAAGGATCTGACTAGACATTTCACCAAAGAGGACATTCAAATGGCCACCAAACACATGAAAAGATGCCTACCATCATTAGCAATCAGAGAGATGCAAATCAAAACCACAACGAGATATCATTTCACTCCCACTAGGATGGCTAAGATAAAATAAACAAATAAACAAACAGAAAATAACAAATGTTTGCAAGGATGTGGGGAAATCGAAACCCTTATCCATTGCTAGTGGGAATCCAGAATGGTAGATCTGTTGTGAAAAACAGTGTGGCGGTTCCTCAGAAAACTAAAAATAGAACTACCATATGACCCAGCAATTCCACTCCTTGGTACATACCCAAAAGACTTGAAAGCAGAGACTCGGAGACGTGTACACCAATGTTCATTGCAGTACTATTCACAATAGCCAAAAGATGGAAGCAACCTAAGTGCCCAACAATGGATGAATAGATAAAACATGGTACATACATACAATGGAACACTACTCAGACAAAAAGAGAAACAAAATCTTGATACAGGCTACAATACGGATGGAACTTGAAGAGATTATACTAAGTGAAATAAGTCAATCACAAAAGGACAAATATATGATCTCACTTACATAAAAACACAAGAACAGGCAAATGTACAGAGATCAAAGTTTATCCGTGGCTTTTAAAGGTGAGAAGGAGAGGCGGAAGGGGGATTATTGCTTATGGAATACTGAGACTTGGTTTACAGTGATGGAAAAATTGCATTGATGATGGGTTGGGTTGCACATCCAACTAATGTAATTGTCAATAAGTAGTACACCTGTAAAAAGCTGAATTGGCAAAATTTATGTGATAGATACACTTACCACCATGACAAAAAAAAAGAAAGAAAAGAAAAAGTATAGCTGCTGAGGTTGTTTATGTACAACCAAACACCTTATGGGATTTGGTTTCTTGGTTTGGAGATTTAGGATCATGGTTTCATGGGACATCCCAGTTAACTGGCCTAATAACATGTTTAGTGCTTCTGTTCTACCTTCTAGTTCATTGCGTAGTGCCTGGGATCTTAAAAGCTTTTTTGCAAGCAGCCATTCAAGGCATGGCAACTGGTCTCTACTTGCCAGGAGTAACAGAGGAAGAAGGAGAGTCAGGAATAGGAGGAGGATATGGAATGTGTAGCTAATTGCCTCCATGAACAACTGCCTCCTTTGCTATGAGACCAGAAGAACTGGATGGTGCCTAGCTACCATTACAGGACATTTTGATCAAAAATTCTACAGAAGAATCCTGATTAAAAGCGGGAAACTGCAGAACTGAGTTTCAAATTCTCACGGACTCCAGACTTTCTGGAGCCATGGGGTTTGGATGAACCCCTTAAACTACTGCCCTGAGATAATCTTTAAACCTTAAACCAAAAATGTCCCCTAAAGTCTTTTAAAAACCATATATTAGCTTAACTAGTAAAGCATGTCTGCCTTGAGCATTGTGGTCTTTTAAGATCTATCTATATGGGATCAAATTGACAACAGCAATTTGAAAGATAACACAGAAAACTTATGGTCAGTGAGCTTCTGTTACTGGGAAGGAACAACCTGGCAGAGGAGGGTGAGAATGGTTGCACTACTGGAAGAATGTAAACAATATCACTGAATTGTACATGTAGAAATTGTTGAATTGGTGTATGTTGTTATGTAAATTCAACAACAACAAAAATAAAATAAATTATATATTAGAAAAAGATAAAATACAGTGTATCCTGCCAGAGTTAGAATAGAAGTCTGGACCACATGCTCTGGAAAAACAGAGGAGGAAGTCAGGGAAGGTTTCAAAGGAGCTGACTTGTAGGCTGGGTTTTGAAGGATGATTAGAAGTTTACCAGGCTGGGGTGAGAGAAGGAAGCTGGGGAAACGCTACTTTGAGACAAAGAACAGCATGCACCAAGGCAGTGATGGTGAAGGACTTGAGAGGACAACAAAGAGAACCACGAGAAGGTGGTGGGGCTGGTGGGGAAGAGAGCAGGTGAGGGCAGAAATGCAGGTTGGGGGACTCTGCAGTCGGCTCTGAAAACACCTGAGTTAATAATGGTCACCACTGCACCAGCTCATAAAAACAGAGTTTCCAGTTTCTTTTTTTTTTCTTCCCTTCTCTTTTGAAAGTACCTCCTTGAGTGATCTGAAGGTAAATATATATGGTTCCAACATACAACATCATAAGAAAAAGAGGAATGCTGAGAGTCCTCCCGAGAAGGGCACAGCCACTTCAAACAGGGCGCCTGGACAAACCACCATTCCAGCTTTCGTCCCGTCAGGAGGCTGCAGGCCGAGGCTGGCTGAGACTGAGGGAGCTTTTACCACATCCATGGAAAACAGAGCAGAACATCACAGCCACGGAGACCCTTGCTGGGGGACTCTGGCCCTGCGCCTGCTGGAGCCTCCTCACTGGCTTCCTGCTCTGATTCCACCCTCCACAGGGCCTGAGTTCTTTCTGCCGCCTTCAGGGTTTACTCCCACCCCTTGGTGCTGTACATGTGGCTCCTGCCCACCTCCCTGCCTGGTCACTTCATATTCCCACACCCCTGTGCTCCAAAAACACCCCCATCTCCAGCCCCTGGATGGCACCAGGCCTTGACCTGGATTGCCTGGACTGCCCTCCACTCCTACTTCTACCACCCCCTCCCAGCCCTCGGGGGGCGGCAGTCACCGCCACCCAGGCTGTAGCTGCGCCCACTGACTCCCTCACAGACTCAAGCTCTTTGGAGACCAGGCTCTGTGGCTCCTTTGCCCGACACTCCTGGTGCTTACACAAGCTTGGCCGAGGGCTGCAGGTCAGCTTCTGAACGCTGGCCCGTCCTGCCAGTGAGGGGCAGTGCAAGACACCTGGGCTGGCCTGCCATGAGAAAGTCCTTCTGTATCCTGAAATCTGCTTCACTGATCCAAATGAGATGTGTGCTGAACAAGGGTGTCATCCATCCTGAATAACGAGAGGTGGGAAAACTGTACTGGGCCCTGGTGGTCAGTTTCCCGTCTGCCACATCAAGCGCTCCCTCTGCCCCAGGCTTTTCCAGCTTTTGTGGTGACCTGAAGCCATCTTATCACCTCCCAGCGGCCTGAATGGGCTCCCAGATGCCTTGTGATCAGGATCAACGCTCACTGTACCTGCTCTGAAATAGTATCCTGTTTTCGGCCTGGTCTGAGAAAGTCTGAAACCGTTTGTAAAACGGCCTAGTTAGATGAAGCTAT